ATTATTATTATTATTATTATTATTGTTATTATTATTAGAGTCCCTTGTTTGGAGTGCAGTTTCAGAGTGCAAAACAGTGTCCTTGTATGGGTCCTATTATTAGTGGTCGCCTCCCACCGCTTAGGAAGACTTTTAAAAAATGAAGAGAAAAAACATTTAATTTCAATAAAGTATAAAGGAGGAGACCAAAATACTCACATTTTTGCTTTAAAAATAGGTTATAGTCTTTTTCAATGGGTGCTGTGTTTCTCCTCCTAATTTTTTTACATGAATCATTCTAATAAAAGGTTAAACAGACATTGGCTCTGCAAATAAGTTGATTTAATGGTAATATTTTCATACTATCTTTGTTTGATTGTGCCTCATACCTCTGAGTTCTTTCATAAAGGAATCAATTGGATGATGTCAAGTGCATTTCAAGTCATGGTATAGAGTCTGCAGAGTGTTTCTTTGAGATGATATTTTGGCAAGTGTGTTATTAGTTTACAAATGCTGGTTTCTGGTTTACATTTACTTGCATTGTTTGTTTTTCTTTTTCTTTTTCTCTTTTTTTTTTTTTTTTTTTTTTTTTTTTACTCTACATTTACTTACGTTGTTATTTCTCCTTTCTGGATTGACTCAATTATTATCCAGATAATGTCGATTAAAATCACTAGACCTCTTTTCTTCCTTTACTTCTTTTTTGTTACTCTTATTATCACAATGTTGGTTAGTGAAAGAACATCTCTTTAGCTTGCTAATTTTGGGAAAATTTGAATTTTACAGGGGCAACCTCTTTTCTTTTCACTGAGTATCAGTATGTTGGTATCTTCATGTTTGTTTTTGCCATCCTGATTTTCGTTTTCCTTGGCTCTGTTGAGGGATTCAGCACAGAGAGCCAGCCTTGTACTTATGACCAATCCAAGACATGCAAACCGGCTCTGGCGACTGCTGCCTTTAGCACCATATCTTTCTTGCTTGGTGGTATCACGTCAGTTGGTTCTGGCTTCCTTGGTATGAAAATTGCTACCTATGCAAATGCCAGGACTACTCTGGAGGCTAGAAAGGGAGTTGGAAAAGCCTTTATCACTGCATTTAGATCTGGTGCTGTCATGGGTTTTCTTCTTGCTGCTAATGGCCTTCTTGTGCTTTACATTACTATCAACCTATTCAGGCTGTACTATGGTGATGACTGGGGTGGTCTTTTTGAGGCCATCACTGGTTACGGGCTCGGGGGATCATCCATGGCTTTGTTTGGCAGAGTTGGTGGAGGAATCTACACCAAAGCTGCTGATGTGGGTGCTGATCTAGTAGGCAAGGTTGAAAGGAACATCCCTGAGGATGACCCCAGAAATCCAGCTGTAAGTAAACCCTTGGATTTTATTATTATGATTCTTTTATTTTAAATGGTCATTTCTTGATTCCATATTGGGTTGATTTCAGGTTATTGCTGATAATGTTGGTGATAATGTTGGGGATATAGCCGGAATGGGATCTGATCTTTTTGGCTCATATGCTGAATCATCCTGTGCTGCCCTTGTTGTAGCTTCCATCTCTTCATTTGGAATCAATCATGAGCTGACAGCAATGTTATACCCTCTCATCATTAGTGCTGTGGGAATCCTTGTTTGTTTGATCACTACTTTATTTGCCACTGATTTCTTTGAGATCAAGGCTGTGAAGGAGATTGAACCATCATTGAAGAGGCAACTTATCATCTCAACTTTTCTCATGACTGTTGGGATTGCAATTGTTAGTTGGGTAGCTCTTCCATCTTCCTTCACCATCTTCAATTTTGGAGAACAAAAAGTTGTGAAGAACTGGTAAGCTTTATGTTCTTCTGCTGAGTAATATAATTAATTCTGTCTTCAGTGTAATGCATGCATTTGCAGGAGCATCAGGAAGAAAACTATGGATTTTGGAGTTCTGACCTTTAATTTCTTTCTGCAGGGAGCTATTCCTATGTGTAGCTGTCGGTCTTTGGGCTGGTCTTATTATTGGATTCATAACTGAGTACTATACTAGCAATGCTTACAGGTAAATTGTCTTGGCAGTCTTTAGACTCTTTACCTCTCTTCTTTCCTTTAACATCTTTGACTAAGGCTTTTGCTTTCCTTTCTGTTGTAGCCCTGTCCAAGATGTTGCTGACTCCTGCCGAACTGGAGCTGCAACTAATGTTATTTTTGGCCTAGCATTGGGCTACAAGTCTGTCATTATTCCTATTTTTGCCATTGCAATCAGCATCTTCGTTAGTTTCACTTTTGCTGCTATGTATGGTATTGCGGTAGCTGCACTTGGAATGCTCAGTACCATAGCCACTGGGCTGGCCATTGATGCTTATGGTCCCATCAGTGACAATGCTGGAGGCATTGCTGAGATGGCAGGCATGAGTCACAGAATCCGAGAGAGGACTGATGCCCTTGATGCTGCTGGAAACACCACAGCTGCCATAGGAAAGGTTTGCAAATTTCTTTTCAAAAACTCAAGGCATTCCTTTCTTGCATTTGTTGGTGCATCAAGTGCATAATTAATTATATTGCTACCCATGTTATCCAAAAATAATTAATATTGTTGCTTTGTGCTTTACTTTTATTTGATTCAAAATTCAAACCTTAAAATGTTTTTTAGTTTATTATATAATTTAGATCTCTCCTTTATTCTTAATTTCTGGGACCATGAGTGTGGAATTGGTATGATTTGTTTGTTCTTTGCCACTTTTTTTCTTGTTCTATTTGACTATTATGATGGAAAAGTTGCTTCTAAAGGAGGTTAGTGTTTGATATGCAATAATACATAAGAGTTCTAGTTGTTTCTTTAATAATAGCTTATATCATGTTGTCTGAGCTGTTATGTCTTTCATTGTGCATCAGAGTCAATAACTATTCATGGTAACATTTTTCTTTCTAGGGCTTTGCCATTGGTTCAGCAGCTCTTGTATCACTTGCCCTGTTTGGTGCATTTGTGAGCCGTGCAGCTATTTCAACTGTTGATGTCCTGACCCCCAAAGTTTTTATTGGTTTGATTGTTGGTGCAATGCTTCCTTACTGGTTCTCTGCAATGACAATGAAGAGTGTGGGAAGTGCCGCTCTAAAGATGGTTGAGGAAGTCCGCCGGCAATTTAACACCATCTCTGGTCTCATGGAGGGCAATGCTAAACCGGACTATGCTACCTGTGTTAAGATCTCTACCGATGCTTCCATCAAAGAGATGATGCCACCTGGTGCCCTTGTCATGTTAACACCCCTCATTGTTGGGATATTATTTGGTGTGGAAACTCTCTCCGGGGTCCTTGCTGGTTCCCTCGTCTCTGGTGTACAGGTATTGTTGACAAGTTTTCATCAAGTAGTATGGTTGCTATTATATTTTTTTTTATTTATGTCAAATACTTATGATAGTGTTTGAATTTTGAAATGTTTCCTAAGAAGATTTTTCTTAACTTGTGTTTCCATCGCGTTGCAGATTGCTATCTCTGCTTCCAACACTGGTGGTGCTTGGGATAATGCCAAGAAATACATTGAGGTAACCTTTCTGCTCTAATCTATCTTCTTGAAATTGACATTCTATAGTTTTCTTGACACTGGAGTATTGAACAGGCCGGCGCTTCAGAGCATGCAAGAACTCTTGGTCCGAAAGGATCAGATCCACACAAGGCAGCTGTAATTGGCGACACCATAGGTGATCCGCTGAAGGACACATCTGGGCCATCACTCAACATCCTCATCAAACTAATGGCTGTCGAGTCACTTGTCTTTGCACCTTTTTTCGCCACACACGGCGGCCTGCTTTTCAAGATATTTTAGAGCAAGAAAAATATCATGAATGGTTTACCAATCCCTTTCTCTGCCGGTTCCTCTTCTCCTCTAGTTTCTCTTTTCCAAATATTTTGAGTTTGAAGGACATGTAGACCCTTGAATTTTTATCGTGTAAGGTCAGACAGTAAGTGAAAATTTTTCCCTCTAATCGTGGAGGGTTGATGATGATGGCGAAGTTGTTGAGATCAGATCTACTTATGACTCCAAACTATATCTGCACTCATTTGCTTATGCTATATTAATAATTTGTTTATTATTTTTTTCTTCAGCACCATCTACTATTCTACCTTAGTCACTTTTTCCATCTTTATTTATTATTATATTTTTTTACCTAAATTTTTTCTTACCATCCAGCATTAGATATTTTTTTTGTTTTTTTAGTATTACAAGAAAATATAAATATCTTAAAATTAGAAATCATTCAATGATATGTAAAATAAATTTATATACATATCTAAAAAATAGAGATTTTTACTAATATAAAATAAATAACCTAAAGTATTGTGCTTCCCTTTTCTCTTTATATTAATAATTTATTCATTATTGCCATTCAAATAAAAAAATAATTTATTTATTATTTTTTTCCATTATTCTCTTATTTATACTATTCTATTTTAATTATTTTTCTTTAAATCCTTTTCTATTAAAATATCTCATTTTTTACCTAATTTTTTTCTCTTGATACTTTTTCAATTACTTCACCTTACATTAATTTTTATCGAGATTTCATCTTTTATCATTATATTTATCTATTTACTCTATATTTAACCTCATTTTCTCTATATTTAATAATTTATTTATTATTATTATTTCTTTCTTTATCCTTATTTTTTCAATATTATTATTTCTTAATCATTTCTTACATCTCTATTTATTATTACATATCATTTTAACCCTAATATCTCTCTGTCTTTTGTTGTGTGTATATTAGAAGTGTTTAAAATTTTGTCTTAATAAACATTAAAAATTTGTAAGCACTTTTAACTCTACTCTTTTTATAATTTTTTAATAGTTTAGATTTTTGATAAATACTATATCAAAACATTTTTAGGATCTTCATAAAGGCTTTCTTTCTTTCTTTCTTTCTTTCTTTTTTTATTTTTTTTTATTTTTTTTATTTTTTTAACTTTTAGATTCATTGTGAGTGCTTTTACTTTTCACTTACACCTAGGTGTATTCATTTAGAACCCATTTTGCACATTTCAAATTGGTTTTTTAAGTCAATATAGTCATTATTAAGTTGATACACATTTGTTCTACATATTACAATTTATAACTATTAATAATTCTTGATATTTTAGTAATTATTATTAAAAAAATATATTTATTTAAAATTATTTATAGCTTAATTATTATTCTGTCATTCCAAAATAATTGAGTAAACAAGAATCAATTTACAAAGTGCCACTTTAGATATAATATAATGTGTGTTTATGTTAACTACATTATATAATTAAAGTAGAAGGTAATTATATATTTTAATAAGTTGTTTTCAACTTTACTAATATGTAAATGCAGATGTCACATTATTATATGGTAATTAAAGTGAAATTTGAGAGTAATTAGTAAAAATTTTGATATATTTGGAGTATTATTAAGTACTATCATATAGAGAATTAATTTTATAAGAAATTTTATGTATTGTGCTCATCAAAAAATTTGAAAGTGTACTAATTTAATTTAATCAGAGTTCAACTTCCTCAATGAATTTTTTTAAGAGGTCTATTGGGTATTTATTTAAGATTTTATAGAAATTTTAAGAGGCTAATTTGATATTTACTTAAGATTTATTATAGATTTTAACAATTTTTATAATATAGTAAGATATAATTGAATTTGAATTTGAAGAATTATATAGTTAAAGTTGTCCAATCAATTTAGAATTGAAGTATTAAAAGAGAAGTTGTTGGGTTCACTAGTTTTTTTTTTTTTTTTTTGGCAAATTAATTTGTGAAATTAAATTGAGATTTTGTCAATTAAAATTATAATTACATTCATAATTGTTTATTGAAAATTTTAAAAGGCCGGTTGAATATTTATGTGATCTTTTTAGAGGGATTTTAAAAGACTCATTTGGTATTTATTAAAGATTTTAATAGTTTTTATGATATGATATGATAAGATATAATTGAGATTAGATTTTAAAAGATTGGTTGGATATTTGTTTAGTATATATTAAAAATTTCAAAAGATTTATTGAATATTTATTTTACATTTATTAAAAATTTTAACAATTTTTAAAATATAATAAACTATATTTTTGTTAAGAATATATTAATCTAGAAAATCATTACAAGAAAAGGAATTAGTATTTTAAAAGGTACTTAAAGACTCAAATTTTTAATAATAATTTTTGGTCCTCCCAAGTGAATTTCATAACCATGTACTTGAGTTTAAGGTTCTCTTTAGTTAAAAAGTTAATTTTACTAAAAAAAAATTTATTGAAAAAAAATTATATGAAAAGTTAATAAGTTTTATATAGCAGTTTTGTTAAAATTTTATTAGATTGTTATGTTTTTCATTTTTAATAAGAAATTAATCAAAAAAAATTGATAGAAAAATTGTTCAATAAGTTTTACATAGAAAAACTTTAGGGAAAAGCTTTCTTTAAAAAAAATGTATGGAAATAAAAGTTTACAAATTAAAAGTTGTATCATAAAAATAAAAATTAAAAATATCATTTTCACTCTCTTTTTATTGTAATATTAATATGTAAAATAATAAATAACCTTAAAAAATTTTAGAGGAATTTAAAATGAATGTTTTCTAAAACCAAACACCTCTTAAGTTTGAAGTTTTGAATATTACTTTTAAAATTTTATACCAATAAATTCCTAATTTTAATTTTTAATTTTAATTTTTAAATATTTAAGTTTTAAAAACAAAAACTCAAAACTTATAATCACAACTATATTAAGACCTTCTTAGTAAAATATTATAAAAATAATCCAAGTAAAAAAAATAAAAAATTTATTTAGAGATGAGGGTTGTATTCACACATAAATTTTATATATTTTATTTATATAAAATTTTAATTATTTATTTTTTTACTTTTAATAATTAATTATCACAATTTTTTAAATAAAATAATAATTATATTTAATAAATATAAATATATTTTAATTATTAAAAATAAAAAATAAATAATTATCATTTTATGTAAATATAATATATAAAATTTGTATTTAAATGGGAGTTTAGAAGAAAAAATAATTTGCAACATAAGTAATTTGCAACTAGCATGCCCAAAAAAAAGAAAAAGGTAATTTGGAATGCCAGGAGCTCCAACAAAGCTGCTCCGAATGCCAGAAGCAGAAACTCCAAATATGCCAATCCAGTCAGCGCGAGCCACAGACCGCGCGAGCCACAGACCGGAGTACTGCCATCGTGGCTATCTCCAGTCCTCTCGCAACGTTTTGTTTCCTTACGGCAAGCATAAGTTCTTAAACACTGCTTTCTACATTCTAATTGGCCAAAAAAAGAATGACGAAATTCACTCTGAGACCAAACAGCTTTTGTTTTACTCCACCAATTGCAAACTCGCGGGACTCAATCTTCTTACTTAATAATAACATCTCGCCGAAGAACCAACGCTTGCAATTAAGCCCTTTGAATAGTCCGTTGAAATTCAGGGTGTTCTGTAGCATCAAGGAGAAGGAAAGCGTCAAGGGAGTCGATGGAAGGGGTAGTAATGGTGGGTTGCTCCGTGTTGAGGAGCGGGACAAAGCAGGTTTGTGCTCCGATTTGGATGAAGTGGGTCATGAGAATGGGGCTAAGGAAGTGGGTTTTGATTGGAAGTGGGCTTCCTGGAAAAATGTTCCTGAGAGATATAAGCTTATTGGTACTACTTCGCTTGCGTTCGTTATTTGTAACATGGACAAGGTACGTAATTCCCCTTTCGTTTTGCCTTTTCTTTAATAGTTCTAAGTGTTATTTTGATGACAAAATGAGATATATCCATGTAAATAATTGGGGGTTTCTATCATGGGCATAATCACATATTCACGTTGTCATTTTATTTTCAAACAAGAAAAAAAAAAAGGGATCATTCTGTGGTAATATAAGTAATAAAACTGTACTCTTGTTGTTTTTATTGATTTGGTTTCTGAGTTCAGGATTGGACTAATTTTGTGATACTTGTTGAATTGAATAGGTAAACTTGAGTGTTGCTATCATCCCTATGTCACACCAGTTTGGATGGAATTCAGCAGTAGCTGGTTTAGTACAATCATCGTTCTTTTGGGGTTATGCCTTGAGTCAATTACCAGGTGGTTGGCTTGCCAAGATTTTTGGTGGCAGGTTTGTCTTTGAAGGCTTCAGTTATTTAGTGCCTCTTCATATTTTTCTTTTCAATTAATAATAGAAGGATATTATCTTTCTTCTTATATAGAATTAGGGAAATTAACAACACTGCACTATAGTACTTATGCAAATAAATGAGTGAAATTACTCAGTTTAAATTTACAAGGAAAATTTTTTTCATAGTCTAATATTTGTTGTATCATGCATGTACTAACCCACATATATCATCTCTACTTTGGCATCAAATTGAATCCTAGGTTTTTTTACTACTTCTAGTGCTACTTATTATTACTAGATTGTTTAGAAGAAATAATTTGAAGCCTTGTCCAAGCTGACCAGCCAAGAGAGTTATTATTATTATTATTATTATTATTATTATTATTTTTTATGCCATAAGAGATTTTTTGATGATGGGCTATAGTATGCAAGAGGGCTTTTCCCAAATCTCTCCCCACCCAAAAACTGGTTAAGAGCCACCCCTTTGGGACCTTTTTCCATTAGAGAATTATTGTTGAATCATCCTGCTTCTGTATCCCACTAACAGGTTACACCATTAATGTGAGAAAATCTGGTTGTGGCAGCAATGGTGTTTAACAATTGCTCCTTACAGCCCACCTGATTAATGAAAATGATTGAAAAGAGACAGAGAAGAAGATGATTTCACTACAGTAAGCTAGACGAAAATTAGCTGAATCTGTAGAAGAAGACAAGATCGCAGAGACTTTTATTATTATTTTTTTTTCTAGCAGCAAGGTATCTCTGGTGAAAAATTGCCAAATGACTAAGTACTAATTTATATCCTTTTGTGTGCTTGTCCAGTAGATTGGTATGGCATCATGTTACAGTTTTCTTCCCTTGTTTTTGCAGAAAAGTTCTTGAGATTGGAGTGCTGGCTTGGTCCTTGGCTACAGCTCTGGTTCCTTTGCTTGCTGGATTCATGCCTGGACTAATCTTATCTAGGATTATGGTAAGTGGGATTCTTACAAAATTCCTTTTTAAAACTTCGGATAGATTATACTGCTGATATATATTAACCTCTTGAACTTTCATGATCAAAGGTTTCTTTTGATTTTCAATATTATCAAATTTATTTCATGTTTCTTGCATACTGCTTTAATGTCTCAATAGTCAATTGAGGACATGTTAGGTGATATGGTGAGTTTAGGTGAAAGGATTATGAAAGCAGAAGAGAAAGAAAAAGATAGAAAAATCCTACTAGTCACACCTAGTTTTTTTTAGGCATCACATTAAGAGAGGAGAGAAATTCCTATTAGTCACAGCTAAGGTGTTGATTGCATCGCATGCACAATCTCAAAGCATAACATGCTGAAAATTTCTCAATATTATTGACTACCTGAAAAATGAAAGAAGCTACAAGCATATATATAATGCTAAGACTCCTAGCTTACTAAGAAGTAGAATTCTCATTCTAACTAGGCTAAGAGCATGAACAATGGGAGCTCTTTCCCATTGTTTTCTTTTACAGAGATAGAGCTCCACCTCCATGGTATGTGTTCTGTTCACTAAGCTTGTCTCTTGGTCAAATTTTTTTTTTAGCATGTCAGCATTTTTTCCATAAAGTTGATCCAATGGCTAAGTATCCAATTTTTCTTTACTTAATTTTATCCCTTTATTTCACCCATATTTATAGTCATTGAAAAATAATATGTTGAAATAATAAATTACTTTTGGGACCCTAATTGCATCTTTATCGAATTGAAAAATTATTATCTGGAAACAATAAATTTATTTTTCAAATCTAAAAATATTTATCGAATACAAAAAATTCATTATGAAATTATAAATACGGATAATGTGGTTTTATAAACTAATGGTGTGAATTTATATAAAAAGAGGGTTGAATAAAATAATGCTTTTACAGCTTTTGAGGAGTCTTTGTTCATTGAAGAGGCAGTGTTTTGTTAGGTGCTTTGCTTGAGGGTTAAACATATAAAATGTGGGTCTATATAAAATACCATTGATTGTGATGATGTGGTATTAACATAACAACAAATAGAGCTTTGCCATTGTACATGCTCTAAGACTTAATACAACATGGCAATCCTAAATAGTGAAAATAATTCTCTCTTGGTAAAAACTCCATTCATGTACCTTAACAATCACTTGCATACTTCATTTTCCAAATGCAGGAGCAATCCTAAATAGCATAAATAATTCTCTCTTAGTACGAACTCTGTTCCTGTACCTTAACAAATCACTTGCATACTTAATTTGCCAAATGCAGGTTGGAATAGGAGAAGGTGTTTCCCCATCAGCTGCAACTGACCTTATTGCCAGGCATGTATGACATCCATATTGTAGGAGTGTTGTTTTTAATCACTCATAAATGATCTCTAACATCAGAAAGGTTCTTGAATGTCATATGTGCCTGAAACTTCTGCTTCCCACAGCTGTTCAAATAATATTTGCATTATCCTTTGATATTTCCACGCTAGCTTACTGCTAAACCAGTTCTTGTTTTGCTATCTTAAATCATCCATTGTTATGGAGCTAGTTGTAGAAAGTTTATCTGAGAAAATATGATCATAAAGGATATTGGAATCAGGACATTTGAGTGTGGGTCCTGGGACATCATTCTCATGTTCAATATAACAATCACATCAATGGTAACATGACCTTTTTAATATCTCCAACAAAATTTTCCTCTTCCATATTTTGGCAAAGCATTTGTTTATGTTCATTACATTGATTATCTACTCAATCAGTCCCTTGTCCTGATCCTTTTTATAGTCAGCCAAGTGTGTAGTGTGAATCATGTTGCCTCACTTCCTAAACATAGTGCTTACTGAAGAATTGTCATCCTACTGCCTTTGATATTGAAAAATGTACACTGGTTTAGTTTCAATTGTTTTAGCTGATCTCAGGGTATTAATGCTTTTTCCTTGTTTCCATAATGACATTTGCTGTTATGTTCTATCTAACAAGTAAAAAACATATATTATTCCCAGCCAATTTGAGTTGCATTATCCAATATTCTTGCAGGTCAATACCCCTGGAAGAGCGCTCAAGGGCTGTCTCATTCGTCTTTGGTGGATTGAGTGTAGGAAGTGTTACAGGGTATGTTTTGTTGGAGTGCTGTTAGTGGATTGTGATTCATGCTTGCCTTGAAACTAAATTCTTTATACTTGATTTGATCTTCATGAGAACTGTTTTAAAATTTGAGCTGGTTAATTCATCAAATTTTATATCAAAGTGTACAATTTTCTTAGTGAAATTTGTATTTTTTCACTTTTTGAGTTGTATAAGAACAAGAACTATCCCTGTTAAGGTGAAAATAATTCATTAGCCACTTATAGTTTCTCAAATAGTTGTAAAACTGTAAAATCTATTTGACTGCCAAAGAAATAATGCCCTCAACCAGGGTATGTGGATCGCAATGAAAAGGATTTTGGTTTTTAAGCCACCTAATCTGCACTTTGAATGGATTTAGATGAGAGTTTGATTTCATTTATCTTGTTCCTTTTTCAATTCTATGTTGCAGGCTTCTTCTGGCTCCTCCACTAATCCAAAAGTTTGGTTGGGAATCTGTCTTTTACATATTTGGCTTTCTTGGAATAACATGGTAATTCACTATATGATTAAACTCGCAAATTGTTGCATTTACCTACTTCTGATTAATGATAAAGAACTTTTCCACAATGTCCAGTATGCCAAAAGGTATTTCTTCATGTAACATAAAAGATATCTTCTCTCTGAGTATCTGACTTTTTGAACAAGTATTTGGTTGAGTTATTGGTTTGGTTCATTTTAACTTTAAATGAATATTTGACCGACTTTGACTTGAATGTATTTGGTTGACCAAATTTGAAGGTTTTCATGGTTTCAATTTCTTGGAGAAAGTCAAGTTTCATATGCTGCTGAACCTGTTGCAAGTGAGCTCGTAATCTTCATTGTTGTTTATTGAAAAGTAAATCTGCTTATTTTGACTATTCAATTGTGATCATTTTGGAATTTTTAAAGTTTTGGTTTGAAGACAATGAGGCTAATGCCATTGAATGATGAAAATCAATAAGGTTCAATTATGCATTTCTGAAGGATAACTGGTGGTGACTCAAAGGATTTAGGCCTACTTATCTTCTTAAGAAACACCAAACTTAGTTGCATTATTTGGAGTCATCATGTTATTTCATGCTTCAAGGGGATTAGAACTTGTTATTAATTTCTTTAATTTAGTTTCCTATGTAGTTTGGACTAGGATTACAAAAAACTATGAATATTGTTATGACTTTTTGGGACACATTTTGATGATTGAGGATATTGTCTGAAACCCTTTTCTGGTATATCTTTCTTTCCCTCTAGTTTCCCTTCTATTTTTTGTTATTGTTTTACACCAATAACCAATTCTGGTTGGTCAACAAGAATTAATGTTTAGAGGATTTGCAGCATAATATACACCTCATTAATCTTTTGAAGCTGTATTTGGGTTTTTTTAGTATAGTTATTATTATTGTTGTTGTTGTTGTTGTTGTTGTTGTCCTCATTTTATTTTATTTTATTGTTGGAACATGAGAATCACTTTAGTGGACATTTTTGGCTACAATTAAATATCCAAACCTTCTTGAAAATATGAGCATCACTTTAGTTGACATTTTTTTTTGTTGAAGTTTTCTTCAAAATGCTTGTGAGCATAATTTTTCTTTATCCTTTGTCATCTGACAGAGTCCAAGTATATTGATGTGAGCAAATCATGGAGTAGTTCTCTGCAGGAATTGGGTTCCTCGGTAAGGGTATGCTTGTTATTTGTTCATAAAATATTGATCATGAAAATTGTAGATTCCATTTTTGATTCAATGCTGCTAGACTGTTGGTACGCCTACATCTTTAATACCTTACTCTTAATTGTTCTTAGTCATGGGACTGTTGCCAGTTGCAAGTTCTGGTTATAAATGGTCATGTCTTCTTTGCTGCATTACTTTTAATTACTGCATATTTCTTAATGTAAACCTAAATAATGCAGTTATGATTGGATTTGTATATGCTGTATGTCAGTATATGCTTTCTTATACAATGTTTTACATTTATATAATTACTAAAATATACAAAACAGTAATTAAAATCAATTAAATTACAAGAAATTAACATTTTTAATAGTGCATGCTGTGCGGAAAAGGTTCTGAAAGCAATCCCAAATGTACTTGAATCCTTGCCCCAGACCTGCCTGGATGGTCAGTAGAGTTAAAGTTCAGTGGTACAAGTTATTGTTTACCTTGAATTTCTATTAGAATCTTTAGTATATTGTGTTACACAGAGCTGGTTAAGTTGGTGAGATCCATCCAGGCCATTCCACCAGATAAAGAGAAATATTTAGGACGTAACAATGCTTATTTTATTTTCCTGAAAAATGAAGGCTGATTTCTGTTATTGCTTGAGATAAGACCATTAAGCTGTGAAAATTAACTAGAAGTGTTTTACCCTGTATCTTGAGAGATGTTTCAAGAAAATAGAAAGAACCTCACTATTTGTTTCTAATCTTGGTCATGCAATTAACTTCTTGTTAAGATTGGTTGTCAATATAGCATATGTTCTTAATGATGAATTTTTTTAAAGTGAAAATTATTCTCTTTGATATCAGGGAGACTAGGAGAATTGTAATTGATGTAATACCTCATTTCTCTAATATAATTGCGTTTTAGCAATTTTGAAGGAAACTGTTTAAAGCTGATAATTTTCTTATTCTTAGTGACATAAAAAAGGGGGATTATATGGCTTCCTCACAACATTGCACACTTCAATATTAAATAGTTTTCTTCTTCTTCTTCTTCTTCTTCTTCTTTTGCACTCACTAATACACTAACTTGGAGCCAAGGGCAGAGGCTCTGTGTGTACATTAGATGGACTTTTTGTTAAAATTTGAAAGAACACCCTTAAAAAATTTTACTCAAAACTAGATGATGGAATTGTGTTGAGCATATTGGCAGAACTTTGAAAAAATCTGACAGTCTCACACAACTGTTAAAAATTTGTTATGTATTTATTTGATATTAGTTTTTTTTAATCCCCTTGAATTTGACTCCTAGATTGACTTATGGTTATTGAAAATCCTTTGAGCAATGTGGTTAACACACGGTCATCTTAATATGCCTGCTGATATTTTGCAAATTGCACATATTGATTGAACTAAAATCATGTAATGAAAACGTAGAGTTTTTTGTCTTGCATTGTTCAAATTGTAATCATATAAGTTTACTACATTGTTATCATGGCATGAAGGATATGAATACCAGTCCCCATTGACAAACCTCCCTGGTTTCTTTTTAACTTTTCTGCCATAGGACATACCGTGGAAGGCATTTTTCCAAAGTCCTGCTGTATGGGCAATGATATATGCTCATTTTTGTGGAAGTTGGGGTCATTACACTTGTCTTTCATGGCTTCCTACGTATTTTAGGTATTTCTACGACATCTTAACAACATGTTAACAGTTAATGGCTTTCAGTTGGAACTTTAGGTTGCATTGGAACTTCCTGGAAATTTGTTCTGGCACTTTCTGCATCGACAGTATTGAGCATTAAGCATTTGGTACACATGACATCATTAATCTTAAATCATTAGCATGAAAAACATATTATTATACATTCTAATATTATATGTATAAATCAAAGCAACAGTAGTTTATAGTATACTGGATTTACCAGCAAGAAATATTTAGAATAACTATGGATGCGCAAGCTGTTTGCATCTGGTAAAGATATGATTAGCTAGAGTTAAATTTGATTGTAAATGTGGCAATTTGAATGCTTATTGCTTGTTGATCATTTTTACCCTTTTATCTTGTGATTCTTTTTCCCTTTTCAAAATGCATGCTTCTGCTTTAACAACATCCATACAGAAAGGATAAAGTCTTCTAACATTTTAAAGCTTGTCTGAATTGTTTGATGAAACTCTTGTGGACAATTAATTAGGTATACAAAGCAAATAATAAGAGCCCAAACAGTATTCTTTATCAATGACTACATTGATTACTAGACAAGTGGTATATAATATATATACTTAACTGTTTCAAGTCTTGCCTCAATTAGTTACGAGTATAGAAATTCTTAGGTTCTGAAATTTGACCTTTATTTATTTATTTATTTTTTCTTATATTGTTTCCATTCAAAAGCACATGGAATTTGCAGAATTGCAGTTTGATTTTTCTTGTACATACTAATCATGAGGAACCTTTTATTTTATCTGCCATGCAGTGAGGAATTGGATCTAAATTTGACAGAAGCTGCCTGGGTAAGCCTAAGAACATTTGTTTGATCTGATAACATATTTTTACTTGAAACTTTTGGAAAAAGTAATATATTCAACCTTCAAAATTATTAACATTATTAGCAGATTAGCAGTGTTATTCATTGAACTGAAGAATAAATCATTTGCGTAACATTCAACATTGTGTTTGTAACTGTTAATGATGCTCTAGCTATCATGACTCCATGTGATTGCTTATGCTTTCTCTTGGATTGTTCTTCAGCAAATGACTGATTCCTAAAAGTTCTTAAGAGAGCAAGTTGGTAACTCAGCCTGCCTTGAAGGATGTCAATTATACTAGGAAAATTGTTTTGTCAGACAGCACGAAATGGCTAAAAAAAGACAGCATAAACAGATGTTAGAATTATATTTATCTGGCTTATATGCCTATTAATGAGAAATTGAAGATGTAATGCAGGGCACTAGTTTTGTTATTTTAGAGGGCCACTATCTCTTTGCAAATATGAATTATACTTGATGTGCTGTTCTATAGCTTAGCTTCAGCAACAATTATTCAGGCAGCTTTCTTGTAATTAGGTAACTTAATGAGCATAAGAGTTATCAAAATGTGATTAAAACTTATATCAGGTCTTCATATTTTATTTACACTTATAACTTTGAGAGGTTCTTCTTACAGTTGAGTGGAAACCATATACATTTTCCACTGTTTTTTGGTCCTTGCAGCGTGAGCAGTATATGAAAATAAAACAATGTATATTCTTATGATGTATATTCCTTTCCATTTCAGGTTTCTATCCTTCCTCCTCTTGCTTCAGTTTTTGTGTCTAGCATTGCATCGCAGTTTGCTGACAATTTAATAGCCAAGGGAGTTGAAACCACCATGGTATGATGAGATACCAAGCAATTGCATTTTTCCCATCTTTTTCTCAGTGTTTGAAAGGATGTGCCTCAGGTGCAAGGTCCTATGCCTTGCAACCCACTAGACAAGGGCAAAAATGGCAAGCCTAGTGCAACTTTTTTGAGGGAAAGGCATGCCTGAGTTTTATTTCCCTTTTTAAAGTTTCTTTTCAATTTCTTTTCACACCTTTTGATTTGACAATGCAAAAGCTCTCTCATGCACATGCCCATACCAGAAATTAACCAACTTTAAAGAGAAAATATGAAGATGCAAATCAGGAGAGTAAATTCAAGTCATCATCTTTCATTGGATAATGACATAAATGAGAATTAGCAGTTTAGTATTTAAGATTTAGAACTTATTTTGCTTTAGCCATTTGGTAGGTTTATGTTGTGTAGTGTTGTCCTACAATCTTTCTCAAATGCTTGGATTCGCATGGTTATTCTAATTAGTTGCAGTTTTTCTGTGGACATATTTTTCAAGTTTCTGTTTTACATTTGTCGTACACCTATGCCTTGTCCTTAGGCTCCAAGGGTCCTTGGCATATGAGTGTACCTTTTGCCTTTCAACAATGCTTTTGCTAATCTTTTGTCAGATGTAGTTCACTCTACTGCTTCAGTTATATTTGTTACAGTAGACTTGCACAGCTTGAACCTAGTCAAGTATCTAAATAAATATCTACACTCTGAATGTATTTGCTGGTCTGATTTCTAGTTTAGAATGTGAGATCTGTATGATAGCTTGTCCTGTGATAGTTTTTGTTATCCCTTCTAGTATTGTTGCTTGATTTTAAATCCATATGGAATTAAGATAGCAAGACTTGTTGTGTTTAGATGGAACATATTTTATCTGGAACTTGAACATTGTTTATTTCTTAAATCTTGTACATGTAGGTTCGAAAGATATGCCAAAGTATTGCCTTCTTGTCTCCTGCAGTCTGCATGACTATCTCTTCTCTGGATCTAGGATTGCAACCTTGGGAAATTGTAGGGATTCTCACTGGTGGTCTAGCCCTCTCAAGCTTTGCATTGTCAGGTAGGTTTATGCTCTCTCTTTTACATTCAACAATAGGTACTTGTTTACAAATAATCATTGTTTGATTTCTCTATTTCACAAGAGCTACTCTACAGCTTAGTACTAACTCAGCTCCCCATCTACTTCCTTCCCTCCTCTTTTTGACAGGACTTTACTGTACCCATCAAGATATTTCACCTGAGTATGCAAGTATACTTTTGGTATGTAACCTTTTAGGTTCTAAATTTATAGATGGTAGAAAGTTCATTTCAAAAGAACTTGCCATGCATGCTTCTCATCTCTATTCAGAACCTGGTAAACTCATAATTTCCAATTCTTGTAAACTGTTGGAGTATGGTAGTGTGATGTCATACCTCTTGGAAGTAGATTTTATTGTTAAAATGGGTCATAGAAATTATGTGTTCAGCACTAATACACTCATTTAGATATTAATTTGTTAGTCAGCTTACTCAGCTGGCCAATTCTAAATGGAATGTAGCTTCTATGCAAACCTAACCATCTTGTACACAGGCTTGGCAACTATCGTCAATTATTCAGACCACGGATACAAGAACCATCATAAAATAGTCAAATTTGGCATTATAGTGTAATATTTTTTCTTTATACTAGTGCTTCTTGTTTGAGTCTTTCTAGATTAATTGATTTGAAAGACATAGTGTTGCACCTTCTATAATCTGGTTATATAAATAAAGCCATAGTTCCTAGTCTGGCCACACTCTTTCCTTTCCTATATTACAATTTTGGCATATTCATTATTTCTCATTTCTACTAAATTTTACTGTCTCGTGTTTAGATTTTTACTTGAACACACAAGCAATGTCTCTTCCAATGAATTAAACAAGTTGATCTTCTTGACAATTTTCTACACAGGGTATCACCAACACCGTTGGAGCAGTTCCTGGAATAGTAGGTATTGCCCTCACGGGTTTTCTTCTTGATTCAACTCATTCATGGAGTGTAAGTTCAAAGCCATGCCAATAATCAAGTCATTTCATTTTTTTTTTTCACTAAAATATTCATTTAATAATGTGACTTCTGTATCATGTAGATGTCCCTCTTTGCACCATCGATTTTCTTCTACATGAGTGGTACGATTGTATGGTTGGTCTTTGCCAGCAGTAAGCCTCAAACCTTTTCCAAGAGAGATTAACCTTCCCTTTTTGCTTTAGATTTGTTTTCGGAATAAAGCACCAAAATGAAGGAAATATTGGTCATACCTCAAGGTCCGACCATATTGATTTGTTCCACTTGTGGACGTTGAAAAGAAGCCATGTGTATTATTTGAACTGTAAATTGTTTTTTCCAACATATATTTCTTGTATGTTTGATAGGTCAAGACCGGTAAACTGTCCCAAGAAATTTTGTAGTTTCAAATTGGACAGCTATGTGTAAGGGCTTAGAGTCGGTAATATATGCAGAAAGTCAATGATATTTGGTCTGTGTAACATACTATTTTGAAGTTAGTTAAAAAAGCATTGATTCCAGCGGAAAACTGCTAGATGTCTTTTCCTTGCGCCTCTGGGAAGCTGTGCCATGCTGATTCCAGCAGAAATTGATTTGGTCATTTCTAGCATGCACACACAAAACCCCTTATGAGAAATTAGCTTACAGTTTTAAGTTGGCTTGTTTTCTCCTCTGGGCACCTTTAGTTGAAAACCTAATGAAAGGAAATGACAAACTAATCAGGTTTCATTTAATGGTAGAAAATAACTGCATTCTATTTTCTCCAAGAAAAAAAAATTTGCATTATATTCTATCAATTATTTGATGAATCACTTTAAGGGAACCAATTTCGGTTCCCTCTATACTACCGCTACCTATCTGCAAGCAGGGAGAACAACATCTGGCATGTGAACAAATACAACGGAGAAAGGAGCAACTATGACTGGCCCTGTTGAATTTACGTGTACTGGTTGCAAATGAGGTATGTTCCCAGATGAATCTACACTTAAAATGTTGCCATTTAGTAGCATAGTTTGGCTGTGTAAATTTCCATCTTTTGCGGTTAGATGGTATTCCTCTCTCACAATTCCAGTGATAGAGCCCCGTGGCAACCGGATAATTGTTTTTCTATGATGCTTGCGTTTGTGTTGGAGCGTCCATGAACTGTTGAATGCAACTTTTGCCTGAACGGTGGTGGTATTGTCAAGATTGATTAATAACATTGTTATCCCTTTCTGCAAGAATGAAATGCAATCAGATATCTATGACATGAAAAAGGTTATCTTCTCTACCTGCTGGATAATTGGAACTTACCGATTGTTTTGCACAATGTGTGTATGAGCGTATCTTTTTAGTCCCAGCAAAGCTTGTAGAAAGAGCATTTCTTCCCATTAGCCGGTGCCAAAGGAGAGCACTGCAGCGAATATGGAGAGCATCAAGCACTTAGTCTTTAGTGAACTATATACTGCCCACTGGAGCTATGGTGGTACTGCTATTTGTAGAAATAAGAAAACAAGTAAAATGAAGTCCTCTCGGAAATAAATCTGTTGGGTGAAATCTTCTTTCTTACTTTGAAATCCTCTTTTGATTACCTGTAGTAGTCTGGATTTGGTACAAAAGTTGTAGTGTTGAGTAAACCATAATTTCCGCCTATCAATGACTGTCTGCAGTATGTTTTTGTGTCATATGCTGATGCCATACCAAGCTGATCCAAATACCTGTATATGACGTTGAAGCCACTACTTGTTAGAAATCAACTACTGGGTAAAGAAAAATCAGGTCTTCTTATGGTAAATTAGAAAAGTATTCGCGAGTTTACCAGAAACTATACACAAATGCATTGCTGACAAGATTATGACCGCTGTTGTAGGCTCCTCCTGCCTCTCCAACCCAAGCAATTACTGAAGATGTTGAACTCTTGACAACTCCATGGAGGTTACTAAATGTACTGGCCTCACCATCAAGATAGTCTGGATTAAGAATCTTTTCAACAAGGTGCTCATCAACTCCTATTAAAGAAAACAAGATCTGTCAAGTCAGAATTGTTTTCAGGGGCTCAACATATTTAGGATTCTGCTGCATGTATGAGTTTAAATACCAAATTTTACAACGGGAATTGCACCTGGTCCCAGATTGTATATGTGGTGAGTGGCCACATCCAAAGATTTCGCTGATTTATCTATGTATTCTTTAAACCAACCTGCATCAAAAAATCCTCCAGGTCCTATAACTAATGGCTTTGGATTGATATACTTATAAACACTCTGCACAATATTGTTCAAGGCGATTGTATCTGAAGCATACTGATCTGCTGTAACTCGAACCCCAACCCCATTTCCACTCAGTTCATTGCCTGAGATGTAACAAATAACATTTCATCTCTATTTTGATACTAAGCATGGTGTTATCTGCAGTAAATTGAGAAATAGACTGTTCTTACTGACCAAGCTCCCATCCATGGATGGGGTAGTTCTTGTTGACAGTATAGCGTATGAGAGATTCAGCATTGGTATAATTCCAAGGTCCTACTGCGGAACTGTCAGGGTTTATTGTCCGTCCGTTAAGGGCATTTAATCCAAAAATAATTTTTGCCCTGAATCATTTACAATACAAGTAGTTTAAAAACTTGGTGGTTTAACACTTAAGATAGAAAAAGATTATAGGAAAAATGCAGAAAAGGGAGGGATTTATGTTACCCTGATTTCTTGAAGAAGGCGTTGAGTTCATCCCATCTGTTCATGGGTAAGCAACCTTGGCTGAAACCAAACAACTCTGAAGAGTTCTTAACAAATGGAATGCAAGGTTCCTTATTGTCTTCTGTTCGATATATGACTTTGTCTTGCAAGGTTCCCCCTAATCTAATCTTCAATGGTGAAAATGCTGCAAAAATAAATAGTAATAAATAGACAAAACAATACTTCTAAAAAACTTATGTAAAAAAAAAAAAAAAAACAAACAAACCGAAAAACAAAATTTTCCACTAACAAATCTCTTGAATTTGTAGAATGTCTTACCTTTTACAGCATTCAAGAATAGATCGTCATTGAGATTCTGCAATGAAGAATAATGTATAAAATTCCAAAAACAAACGAAAAAAATTTAGGTGAATGATATTAATAATAATAACTAAAATCCAAGAACAAATAAAATCAACCAAACAGATATTTTGCTTTGTTTTCCAAAAAAAAAAAAAAAAACTCCTGAAGTTGGAGGAGGAGTAACATGAATAAACCACATCAGAACAGGAAATAAAACATTCTTTTTCAAGACATATTTAGAAGCATTTAAAAGAAAATTGAAAAATAAAAAATAAAAAGGTGATAGAAGCAAACCAGATTGAGCAAAGAGGCATGATCCCAGCTGCATTTCCCATAGTCACATTTCTCCGGAGGCCACCAATCCAAAGTTGCACAGATAAAATCATCGTCGATCTCACCGACAGCAGCTTTTCCGTCAATGAAAACCGTCCCCTCCGGTTCCGCATCCCCCACCGCTACCTTAGTCTGCGACCTCACAGAGCCGAAGCTAAAACAGAGGCAGAAGAAACAGAGGCGGAAGCAAAACCCTTGCGTCCATATCTGAGAACCCATCTTTCAGAAGCTGGAGATCTGAAGCTCCACCAGCACTGTCTATAAATGGGCATGGAAGCAAAGATGAAAGTGAAAAGTTGGAGTTAATACCGAAGTTGGCATTGGAGGAGGGAAAGATACACATGGTATAATAGTTATGGGTAAATGAATAAATCAGATTGTTAGCAGAGTAGAGGAGAAAAACAAAACAAAGAATTAATTTGATGGGGAAAGAAAAGATAAGGATACGATACAGAAGGTTGAGTAAACTGGGCAGTTTGGTAGAAAAGTGACGTTTGCTGGAAAAGTGGGGATCTTTCTTTGCTTTGCCTTAAGGTAAATGTCATCTGTTAAGGGTAGGTAGAGGTAGAGAGGGTCTTGGAAAATAATATAATGAGTTTTTTTTAGGAGTATGTTGGGTTTGGCAGGAGAAAATAGAGGAAATAATTTTTTTATTAATAAAATTATAATATTTTTAAATATTATAATTTGATTAATAAAAATAATTTTTTATTTTTTATTTTTTTAAAATCAAATAT